GAACATGTAGAATACTTAGTTGTCGACTGCAAAAGAAGGCTCAATATCATGAAATCAGTGGCGAGCTTGAACTGGGGATGTGATTATAGAATTCTCATCAATTTATATCAATCCATCATACTATCCAAATTAGATTATGGATCAGTAGTATATTCATCCGCAAGAAAATCATATTTGCAACGTCTAAACTCAATTCACGCCTCTGGACTGAGACTTGCATTGGGAGCCTTCAGAACAAGTTCATACCTGTCATTATGTTGTGAATCCGGAATGTTACCTCTAAATTATCGTAGAAAACAAATTTTGATCAACTACGCTACGAAAATTTGGGCCATGCCTGATCACCCAAATCACGATCATTCGTTCCCTGAGGAAATCCATGAAATTCATGAGTATAGACGAACTATAACAAGACCAGCAACAATGAGAATCGGTGAACTTCTTCTTGAATTAGGTAGGTGAGAACTTTCCAACCCAATGGAAAAATATGAAACACCTCCTTGGGCAATGGGTCCCCCGATGATACACTTCAACTGCCTGAAATATCAAAGACATGAAACTCCCAAGCATCTAATCTATGGAGAATTACATGCTATACTAGATAACTACACGAATGCAATCACAATATACACAGATGGGTCGAAATTAGACAATGGCGTTGGCAGTGCTATCTGTATCGATGATGAGACACATCACTGGACACTAAATTCACTCTCCAGTATCTACACCGCTGAACTGTACGCAATTCGGCAATCACTAAAATATGTAGACATAAATAATATAAAGAAGACAGTAATTTGCTCCGATTCACTCAGCTCACTTCAATCAATATCGAATATCTCCAGTTCAGACCCTCTCGTTCTACAAATTTTATACTCACTTCAGGGGTTGAAGAATAATAACCAAACTGTTATTATCATCTGGATACCAAGTCAGATAGGAATACCTGGAAATGAAAAAGCTGATGGAGCTGCAAAAGAAGCTGCAAACTCAGACTATATGGACAACAAACCCATCCGCCACGAAGACATCAAAATACACATGAAACATAAAATATTCAACCTGTGGAAAGAGAAGTGGATCAACGAAAACTCGAAACTGAGAAGAATCAAGCAAGATATGACGTTTGAAGTCCATGAAAAAAATCTGAAAAGGAAAGAACAAGTAATTACAACGAGATTACGCATTGGACACACACACATTACATCATCTTACCTCTTACTAGGCCAGCGCCAACCTCAGTGTGAACCCTGCAGAGAACCACTGACAGTTGTTGAATTTGTATATCGCTACTTCAAAGTTGGGTACCAACTCCCCAGAAGTCGAAACTTGTGCGGGGTTAGGAAGAGCGGGACCTACAGCTTATAGTGGAATTCGAACCATTTCTAGGGCATCGAGGTGCTGCCAGGATTACAACCATGAATCACACATTTTGAAGAAAAATGCTCAGCCGATAGCCGGATTCGAACCGACAGTACCTCTGCATCGTGAACGGCTATCTAGCGAATTTCAGCGCATAGACAAACTCGGCCACAGAGCCCACAGTTGAACACATACTATCGAATTGTCCAGAATACATCCAAGTCAGACGAACAGTGGGATTACCAGATGATCTGTCCTTATGTCTCAACAATCCAACCTACAAAGATGGAACTATAGAATTCCTGAAAAACATTAATATCTATAAAAAAATATAACTGAAAATAGAATACTCACCGATATCTATCTAAAAAAATAAAAATGAGAAATATAATAATAGTAATCAATGATACAGTATTAGTTAGTCAGAGAGTAAATTGGAAATGGTTTGTCTGAATTGATTTTGAGTGAGGAAGAAAAAATCGACTGTCGCAAGTTCATTACAATTTCTGCACATTGAGTTTATTAGAAAATGAAATTTATGTTGTGTATTTGGAGTGTTGAGGTGAAAAGTATTATGATACCGGGAGGCTAGTCGTAATATGTTGAAATCGATTGGTGAAAGTGATGTCGCAGAATCTACGGAATTATGAATAATCTCATGTATAAATAATAGGTGACCAATATCTCTTCTCTTTTTCAGTGATTGGAACTTGAATTCGTTCAGAAGGAATTCATAACTATAATTTCTTCCAGGGGAGCGTTGGTATTCTTTGTAGAACAGGTATTTCAAGAACTTTCTTTTTCACCATCTTAATTGCTGAAATTGTTTGTTGATGATATGGATCCCAAATTTGACTACAGTATTCAAGTTTACTTCTGACTAACGTATTTTTACAACAGACAGAGGGCGTCCAGGAATTGAATTCACTACAAGTTCGGTTTAGGAAACCCAGTGATTTCATAGCTTCTGAAATTACTGCTTCGTAGTGATGAGTGAAAGTTAGTTTATGGTCGTAAACAATTCCCAAGTCCTTTTGCTGTGTAACTCTTGTTAGTGACTTTTCGTTGAGCAGATAATTGTACAATAGTCGGGTATTTATTCTTGAATATGTCATTACTTCACACTTGCTAGTATTTGATGGAAGTCTATTCACTGAACACCAATTTTCTAGGGTCTTCAAATCATTTTGTAGTGAGATATAATCTGTAGGGTCATCAATTCGTTTGTATAATTCCATGTCATCAGCGAACAGGAGGGTTTCGAAATAGATTCCAGTGCATATATCATTCACATATAAAAAAAATAATAGTGGTCCCAAATTTTAACCCTGTGGCACACCCGATGTTGCAACGAACTCTGAGGATTTTACTTCTTCATATTCAACAAACAATCTACGACCTAGCAAATATGATTTCAGCATATTGATAAGGTTTGCAGAGAAGCCGAAAGGCGTGAATTTTTGAAGTAGCCTTTCGTGCGACACGCGGTCAACTGCCTTACTGAAATCTGTGTAGGTTAAATCTACCTGAATCGAGGGCATCCGAGACAAATTCAGTGAATATGCAAGAGTTTTTCGATGTATTTCGGCCTTTCATGAAACCATGTTGGTTTTCGGAAATTAGATGCCAAGTATGTGCATACCACGAGTCTGCCACAAGGATTTCAAATAATTTCGAAAGGGCAGAAATTAGAGCGATGTGCCTATAAATTGTTATTCTGGTGGATATTCCAGATTCATGACTGGAACATATGCGTGAATATTTCCAAATATTGGGGAACGTTTCACTTTTGACAATTAGATTGAAGATAACAACGAGAGGTTCCAGCAATTTTTCGATACATTTTTTAATATTTTGGGTGGAATGTTGTCAGGTCTAGGTATCCACTTGTTTATGAGCTTTCAGCATGCATTGGTAATTTGGTCTCTAGTTATTATTGGTATGTGTGAGTTATTACTGTTACTCATGATCCTATTTGTCGAGGCTTCGCTCACTACAAGGTGATTCTGAAATAGGTGGTCAAATTTCGGGAGCATATAGGGTGGGTGAAATAATTACGAAAACCTCTGTAACATTTTTTTCTGAAGTGACCCCCAAGAAAGATACAGCCCCTCAAAGGGGGGTCTCGGAGAATGATTTTGTATTATTATCTCCAACACCTTGTATAATGAAAATCTGAAATTTTGTCTATCCGCTTACTATTCAGTGCCGGTTCGAATGGGGTTAAAATCACCTCGAAATAAAATACAGGGGTGTCTCAAAATAGGGAAATAGGGGGTAAAAATAACCCCAACTTTTTTGTTCATTGCAATTTCAGTTTTTTGACATGAAATTATGAAATCTCAGGGCTATTTACATAAAAAAGGTGCTCTTGTTGCATCTCGATAAAATTAACTATTAGCGAATAAAATTTAAAAAAGCTTGTTATTAACAATATTTTTCATTTTAGTATTTTCAATAGTATCAGACCATAATCACGAAACTCGTCGTCTATTGTTAATTTATCAATTCCGACAATAAATTCAAAATTTCCAACCCCAAAAACCCTTACAAACCAATTTTGAATCGAATCGAACCATAATCACAAATCTGGTCAGCCACATTGGAGCCGCCCTATTTTTTTCTATCAAAAAGTCCATAACGCGTTGTCAACTGTCATCTGCCAGATTCCAAGTTGATCAGACGATCAGAAGTAGGTGAAAATTCAGTTGCAAGATTTGAACTAGATGATTAAACTAAAGTGCATGCCAAAATTGCAATTTAAATGAAATCTTGGAAAAGTAAATTTTATTCGCTTATGGTTCAGTTTATCGAGATCCAACAAGAGCTCCTTCTCTATGTTGATAGCTCTGATATTTCATAATTTCATGTAAAAAAACTGAAATTGTGATGAACAAAAAAGTTGGGGTTATTTTTACCCCCTACCTCCCTGTTTTGACACACCCCTGTATTCAATTTTGAGGCGATTTCAACTCCATTCGAACCGGCACTGAATAGTTAGTGGATAAACGAAATTTTAGATTTTCATCATACAAGGTGTTGGCGATAATAGTACAAAATCATTCTCCGAGGCCCCCCTTCGAGGGGCTGTATCTTTCTTGGGGGGCACTTCAGAAAAAAATATAACCGAGGTTTTCGTAATTATTTCACTCACTCTATATACTCCCAAAGTTTGACCACCTATTTTGGAATCACCTTGTATATCGCAATCCTCCTCAATGTGAATACTTTTGAAGTGGGTTGCAAAGGAATCGATAATTTGCTGTGGATTAGCGATCTCTTCCCCTTCATAGTTCATTCTTCAGATTGATGTAGGTCCAAAAATTTTGGGGACTCGTTTCAATACTATTATCCGATATATCGATAAGAGTTTTATAAGCGCTCTCTATTCCAGTTTTTATTGTTCTTCTAAGATTTTTCACGCGAGTTAAGTAATAGTTGAGTTTCCGTTTTCGATACATTTTCAAATAATGATATTTTGATTTCATTTTGTGAATAATGCTTCTGGTGAACCAAATAGGATATTCATATTCCTTCTGTTTTGATAAGGTACAAATCCTTTTATCATACTCATCAATGATGCCCTGAAAATAAAATCAATATTGATCATGAGAATTGCTCGTTGAATACTATTTCAGGCCACTCTTTGGGATCCCACCTGGCCGGTTTCGTAGGAAAGTCCACGTTTGAGCTAACTGGCAAGAAATTAGGGAGGATCACCGCCCCCGATCCGGCGGGTCCTATGTTCGCCGCCCCCGAGATGGCCGCCCAGGAGCGACTTTGTGAAAGCGACGCCGATTTCGTCGACGTCGTGCACACCGACGTCGGGTTGTACGGGTACGCGGCACCGCTCGGTCACGTGGACTTCTATCCGAATGGTGGGGGGCACCAGCCGGGGTGTCCGCCGAGGAATGAGGCCGGTGAGTCGGGATGCGCGAATTCATCGATATATGATATCGTTTATTCAAATTCATTAATTTCGAATAAACGCGAAAAACTAGCATATAGACTAGAATATATTCATACCAGCGACAAAAATTACATCTTTGTATAGTTCGAGTCGAACTTTCTTGAATAATACATAATAATAAGTTAAACAAAGACTATTTTGAGATTTGATTCATCAATGTTTTTATTCTTCTCAGAATGATGCGCTTCATGGCGGCTTACAGATTTTGAAAATGGCGCATTTGCATAGAAACTGCAGGAAATTTCTGATTAAAAACACTGAGAGTTTATTCTTTCTTGATTCAACATACACCATAAGTTGGTAAAAATAAGTGAGAGATTTCATGAAATGATATTGTGAAATTTCATCTATTCGGTAGGGCTCAGCAGCAACTAATTTTTTTCTAACGATATGTTCAAAAAGCTATAGAGTTCAAGTTTTGGAGATGAACTGGCAGTAAGATATAGTGAACATTTCTGAAAACAAAATTTTTCATATAATGTTGTTTCATGTTGAGGAAAGCAAAATACTTCTTTCCGTCGTGTGTTATGTTTATGATCAAAAATATATTGTCTGAATAATGATTTATTCTTTCGAACATAGCAAAGACACTGGAATATAAATAGTGCAGGAATAGTTATAAAGCCAAATTTTTTGAAAAAACATCTACAAGATTCACTGTACCTGAGGTTTGAAATTATCCTAACCCCCCTCTTTTGGACCATGAAGACATCTTGACTCTGTGATCCTCCCCAAAATGAAATGCCGTAGTTTATTATTGATTTCTTCTGGATACAAAATATTATTACTGCGATGTTCAAATAGTGAACTGTTTGTTTTTTGTGTATTCAGTAACAAGTTGTTATTTTTGAACCACCCTGCTATGTCTGAAATAATATCAACTGTCTTTCGTTTGAGATCATGATACTGGCAAATCATTGATATACAATAAAAATAGCACAGGACTAAGGACGCTACCCTGTGGAACGCCTATTTTTCTTCTGATTTGCAATCCACAGAATTATCTTTGATGCTCACTCTCTGTTTGCGATTGGTTAGATGAGATGTAAACCATTTTTGTGCAATATCCCGATAATCCATTTTTTCCAATTTTTGTTAGAGAATACAATGTTTCACACAATCAGAAGCCTTTGATAAGTCCAGAAATATACTATGGGCCAAATATCCGTCATCTAAATATTCAAGTAATTTTGTAAGAAAACTGGAGATTGCTGTTGTTGATGATATATCTTTCCCAAAACCATGTTCATCTCTCATTATTTGCGTTCAATTTCAATTGCTCATATCAGAAAACACATTGGCAAGTAGGTATGATATAGATTAGTATTGTCTATGCGTATTATAGTATATATAGTAATTGAATTCGAAGACCTTGTTTTTTCTTTGTTGTTCTTCTTTTTGTTCTTTGAATAGACCACATTATATTTATAATGATACGAAAAACACTGGAATAAGAGAGTTACATCAATAAAATGTGAACCATATTCATCTACCGCACTTTCTCAATGAAACGAGTTGGTTCATTTTGAACGTGGATGTTTTATTGCACACAATTTACTGATGGAAACAAATGTGTTATCAGTGCAGTAAAAATATTGAAATTGATTAATTCTTGGTTGGTTGAATAATACCAAGCTATACTCATCCTAAGTGAGTCAGATTCCACAAAGAAACAATATTGTGATCATCTGGCAACTTCATTTGAATAAATAAATGAATAAACCTGGCCTCATATTCACAGTGTCTCCACCTCAAGGACTTACAACTCCTATGGAATCGTTATTATCTGATCGATTTTGGAAAACTGTTTTTTGTTAAATAGGTATTTGAAATGTCCATCCAACACGAGAGTGATTTTATTTTTGGACTGTTATCGTAGCCAACTGCGACCAATTTTATTGACTTATATTTCAAGAAGTACTATTAGGGATTTTTTTTCCACAAAAAATAATGTTGGATTCTGAATCAGGAAAACTTCAAACATACCTGTATCGGTTCTGATCTTCATAAAACACAGAGTGCCCGAAAAAACGAATTATTATTTTTTGAATATTTCATCAGAAAAATGCTATCGTGGCATTTTCGGAAAGAATTAATTATGGTTTCTTATTGAGAATTACTTTATACATATCTGTATCAAAGTTCATGGTTTCTAAGGTAATTTTACTCTGCACAGGAAGTCGAGAAAAAAAACATAAAGACTATGATGAATTAATTTATATTTTTTTTCTTGTTAATGAATACCAAGGTGAAAACCATCTCATACAAGAATCAAAGAAGGCCAGTTTGGAAAAAATTTTGACTATCAGTCATTTCTATTAATCCACCGAATTTTCTAATACATTTTTTAATACGTCGACGATTATTGTTACAAAGCTCTTCTCGGGTCTGCGGCTTTGTAGCATTAACTTTGTTTTTCATCGTACCCCACAGAAATAAATTGAGAGGCGTGATATCTGGGGATCTCGGAGGCCAACGAATAAGAGAACTATTTCGTTCTATACAGTGATTTGGAAAATTATCATTCAACCAGTTTCTCACAGCAACGGCATGCATTGTGGATAGGTGCTCCATCGAGTTGTAGAAGTATATTGTAGCGATAATTCATCAAGTCCAACGGTGAACTCATTTTGCGAAAATCTTATAAATATGGCAGCATTCGAATTTTCATGAAAAAAGTATGGGCCAATAATCTCTTCATTCAATATATCACAGAAAACATTTACCAATGTGGATTATCTTCGCTCCACATTCTAGTATTTTGTGACGAGACAACACCATTTGTTGTAAATGTAGCTTCATCTGGGTACATAATTCATTTCAAAAACTCAGGATTCTCTAGGTACATATCTTGCAGCCATTAACAGAATTCCATTCTTGAATCAGTATCTCTAGCTCCAAGTGTATGAAGAAATGTTGGCTTGAAAGGTTTCTCACCACTTTTTCTCAAACATTTGAATATATGGCTCTTAGAAATATTCAAATTCCCACTTGCATCTCTGAGTCTTGAATGTGGATTATCATTGGAATAATTTCCATATTACGATGCTGGTTTGGAAGTCTCTCTACTATTCCATGTTGATCAAAGAATCTATTTATATTTGCAACTGTTACATGGTTGATATTGCGTTCTGGATGTCATCTGTTGAATTCATTAGCTGCTTCACGAAAAGTACGCATTCTATCACCAACTAATCTTATTAATTCCACTCTTTCCTGTAGAGAATATGACATGTTTCAATTTTTCTACGGCTCTGAAACAGCATAAACTACTGAACTATCATCAATTGACAGCTAATAAATGAGATAATAGATTCTGTTTCCACAGCACTCTTAGTGGAGTACAGATTCATGATGCTGATACTGTGAGAACTAACCAATCATTCCAGACGTATTATTCGAATCTCGGAGCGAATATATTCTAGTTCCATGGCAATCATAACCATAATAATAATAATTTCATTGCTCAAATTCTCATACTCTTATATAGTAATTATCGACTAGAATAACTCTAATTGCAAGAATTATCATGATAAATACCACAATAGGGCATTTTTTGTATGAAATATTCAAGTTTTTATAATTCATTTTTTAGAACACCCTGTGTTTAATGATAATGGAAATCGGTACAGGTATGTTTGAAGTGATCCTGATTCAGAATCCAACATTATTTTTTGTGGAAAAAATCCCTAATAGTACTTTTTGAAATATGAGTCAATGAAATTGATCGCAGTTGGCTACGATAACAGTCCAAAAATGGAATCACTCTCTTGTTGGATAGACATTTCAAATACCTATCCAACAAAAAAAAATTCTCCAAAATCGATCAGATAATAACGATTTCACAGGGGTGGTAAGTCCTCAAGGTGGACACACTGTACATTTGAAACTACTTTTGTTAGTTACCATTGAAATCATAGTAAAATGAACTAACATTTAGACCTTATAGCCTCCTCCTTGTTCCATGAACTCATCGCGTTTCCTTCATCTGTCTTTTCCTTTATGTAATACGATTATTTCATTGTTAATCGAATGTATGATCAAGCTATTCAAATCATAAGCGGGATAGCATGACTTTTGCCATAAAAATTATGCTTACTGAAACCTGTGCAGGGCTGCCAATACTGCAAATTGACTATTTTGTCTCAAAAGTTCCAACAATGGATAAGACGTTTTAAAACTCAGACTCTCATATCGATTATACCACTCATTTTAAAATACACTTTCTATATTGGTTGGAATATATGTGTTCATAATCGAAAACGAAATGGTTTCGTTTCTGTATGCTGGCTGTTGATGGATACTGATAGGTACTGGGTAGCTGAATACAGGGTGCGGCAGAAAAAAGACCAATGATCCCAATATTCGGAACGCCATCACCAGAATACCGGTGGGCATGCTTCAGAAATCGACTCAATCAGTGCCTGAACAATGGTGGCCGTCATTTGATAGATTCAATTCTCGAAACTCCATGAAAATATGTCGATGAGTATTCTGTAAGGGGAATAAAGAAAGATACCATTACCTATCTTTTTTATTTCCCTTTCAAAAAAGCAAGTTTCTCTGCACCCTTCATTGTGTTATATTTTTGTTTTTTTTTTCGTTTCCTCATATGGTAGTTCGATCAAAAAAAGAACAAACTGACTTAATAGCAGTAGGCCGTGGATAGAAGTTTATGTCAGTGAGGCTGTCATGAATGTGGTTATATATTTTTGTACAAGCGTGCGTCATTCACTCCATACCCGTACGCAATTTAGTTAGGGAAGTGTCATTTTCTCGCAACAGTACGGAATATTATTTTTCCTACAATCGTGCGTGATTCACCATATACCCGCACGCAATTCAGTTTGGGAAGTTTTGTTTTCCCGCAACGTGGTAGGTGATAAAATATGAGAGTTTCAGTTTGTTTGTTGCAGTATTAAGTATGTATGTTCAGAATAATCTATCAAATTGCACTATTTATTGTGAAAATTGAGAAATATTGAGAAATAAAAATTGATTATTATAAAAATCCCCCTATAGACTTGAATTGAGTTGATGGAAATCGATTATTGTTGTCATGCCAATCAAACGTCGAATGAGTATGTAATTGTCGAAGTGACAGACACATCGTTACTGTCATTTTCGATTCAGTGGAATTGCCGCAATGTGATCACAAACTTCCAGCTATAGGGATGCGATACAGATACGTTATTGCCAACGAAGTCTTAAGAAAGGCATGAAAAGCTATACACGCGTTTTATTGAATGGTGCAACGATAAAGAAATGAGAATACCGAATAAAGAAGGAGTATTTTTGGCTCATTCCCTAGAAGTGTCTGAAACCTAGAGACCAAACACCTCATGGGCCTTCTGGCTTCCGCAATGAACCTATACATAATGCGTCAACCTGTAAGTTCCCAATAGCTATTACTTATAATCAGTAGATAGAGAATACATTTCTTTCTCTTGTTAGTTGTTCTTATATGAATGAAAAATTGATTGATCAAATCAATCAATTTCATACGCTTGTAGAAAAGATATTGTTCCCAACTCATGCGGAAAGTGTCTTTCCCGCACTCGACTGCTTGCCCGAACTCTACTTCGCGTCGTTCGTGTCAACGGCAGTCGCGTGTGGGAAAGAATCACTTTCCGCACTTGTTAGGAAAATTACTATTCCACAATGGGGCGGAATTTTTTTCCCACACTAGTGCGGGAAAAACAATATTTTTGTGATGAAATAAAAATGTTTGAAATTGTTTTTTGCAGTATTGAGTATGTTTGTTCAGAATCATCCATCAATATGCACTACTCATTGTGGAAATAAAGAAATATAGAAGAATAAACATCAACTGTTATAGAAATTCCACTATTGACTTGGATTGATTTGATGTGGAGAACATTTACTATTGTCATCCCAATCAAACCACGAATTAGTTCGTTATAATTGTCGGAGTGACAGACACAGCGTTACTGTCATTTTCTTTTCAGTGAAATTGCCACAATTGATCATGATTGTGATCAGAAATATTCAGCTTCAGATGCAATACAGATCTGTTATTGTTGACGAAGTCTTGAGAAAGGTATGAGAAGCAATGTTCCCCAAATATTGATTGGTCCAACAATAAAAAAATTGAAATCACCAAATATAAAAGGAGAAGTATTTTTTTCTCATTTCCCCGAAAAGACTGAAACCTAGAATACAATATATTATTCTTGTTGATTGTCCCTATTTGCATTGAAGAAATCAATTAGTTTCCTTCATTTGTAGAGAAAATATTGTTTCTAACTCATACGGAAAGTTTCTTTCCGCCCTTTTTAGGAAACTCACTATTATACCTATGCAGGAATAATAAATAGGTAACAGTCAAGACCAAACTTCATCAGCCAAAAATCGTGATGAGCACTTTTCAGACCAACTTCGTATGATTGACATTTTGGAGAATCAACCAAATAACCTCTTGAGTTGAGTGACATCACCAACGTTATCGTTAGTTGCATAACGCAACGACTGCAAATGAAAATACGACAACAAATTGGTTTTTGTTCCATTCATGAGATAATGAGTGGAATGATCTTAGCAAGTACAACTCGTATTATTTTTATGATAATCGAATATTCTGTCTCTTTATTGAAAGAGATTATGTTGCTTTCGGATAGTCAGAGAAAATGAGCTCTAAACAATAACCACTACGTTCGCAATAATTCCCGAATCGAATCATCGGAACAAATCCACAGTTATATGATTAATCTAAAGGTTTTCTAACCATCGAAGGTCCAATAATTGTAAAATCTCCACAAACGATAAGATTTTTACAAAATTCTCGAACACACGAAATCTTATCGTTTGTGAAGTTTTTACATTTCTCATGGATTTCCATCGAGTAATCGCTATGAGTACAACAGCCACCAGTTTGAAACTTCGAAGTTCAGTTCGATAATTGTTTGACTTCGATTTCATATTGTCATATTTTTTCAACCAAAAAAGTATTTATGTCAAAGTTAACTTGAAATTTCATTTGGAATTTTGTTAACTGAAAATCATAAAGAAACAAGAAATTACGAGTATGTAAATAGAACGAGTAATTTTTTCTGGCAGTTTTTTTAGTTAAATTTCACACACAATCACACTATTGTCGATGGTTTTTTCATTTTCATTTTTCAGATAACTGCAGCCACGCAAGATCGACAGTGTATTTAATTGAATCATTGACGATTAAATTCAAAGCGTATGAAGCAACTTACGAGGAAAACAACTTCAATGTGACTGTCGCAGTCAAGCCACGAGCGAAAGAACTTATTTTTGGGCAGCATGTAGATAAAAACAGTAGAGGCGTTTATTACTTGGAGACGAATGCTGAAAAACCCTATTTATCATAATTGATGATGAGCATTGATATGAACTCAATTGTGATAACGACATTTAATCATATCAAAAGATGAGCTAGTTACTTGTTGTAGAAGAATGAGCAACTTAATATTGTAACAAATAAATATGTTCAATAGTTTATAAACAGAGTATTATTGAAATGAATACAGAACGAATACAGCAGAAGTGCGTTCATAAACTCACTCTGAGTAAGGATTGCCCACTCCGAAACATTCATTAACTCACTCTAGCAGTTCACAGTATGCATCCACAATCGTTCAGAAACTTACTTAAAGTAAGTCCTGCTTACCCTGCATTCGAATAGAGTAATGATGTACTCTGACAGTTGTAGTTCAGTTCATCGGTATTTATTCATGTCTTGAATTAATGTCTGATCGATTCTATGTAAAACCCATATCTATATGTATCACGTATTCTTCAGTGTAGTATCAACTAGCAGGGATACTGTTTTAATCAAACAAATAGTTGGGTTAGCTGACAAAGTAGTAGTATTCGAATCTTTTCCATATCTGGTAATCAGTATCATGATGATATAATAATTATACTGATAAAACGATACCTGAAAACCTGTGAATTTAAGAACACTTGACATTCGTTATCTTGCATTCCTTCACATGAGAGTTTTTGATCGGCTTCTCTGAGTAATCTTCAACGATATATTTCTGATCAGGTGACCACAGGAGTGAGTTCTTGAAGGCAGCGCAGGAATACAGCAATATAATTATGCTTTTGGTAAACAAAAATGCCCACTTGCCAAGTCTTCAGATAAACGAGAAATTTCATCTTAGAAATTGAACGAGAAATGAAGAAAACCGAGTATGTCGATCCCTGACTATCGAAATCATAGTGACTTTGTCGTCTACAAGGACAGTGCACAACGATCACATTTGATTGCATTTTCATATTTTCTTGATAACTTCATCACGAATTTTCGAGTTATCTTGAAATATTTTGATGGTCAAGTATAAATCATTATCAAAAGTGTTTCTAATGTGATGCCAAGTTTATTCTGGGGGATACTGTACATGAAACATATCGAGGAATTTCCAGAAATGCTTGAACATCAACTGTTACAGAGTTCACCTTGCATGTCTAAGTTCTGTAGTATTTTTTTAATTCAAGCGCCACACGGATGTTTTTGAAGAATAAAGATAAATATATAATGTCTTATATCTATATTGGGAGGAATTATTCACAGATATATATCTATTCTACTTTCCTGGCAATTGGCCACGTCGAACAATGAATTATATCTGTTCGAAAAATACTGCAGAAAAAATCAAAATCCTCTGATATTGAGAATTGACATCATTCCTCAAATCGATTGAAATAATATGATGTATTATGATATGGAAATATAACTCAATGATAATATGTTCAGTATTGAAATGGAAATTGAAATGTATAGGAGAAGTATACTTGTATGAACTCTGATCTTGATGAGCTTGAAACTTCAAAAAAAAATCATTCGTATCAGTGATATGGTAATTATATTTCTCACAAACAGGTTACATGACTTCACTCGAGTAGAACTCATTTCGGATATCAAATCCTCATCAGTAACCTGAAGTCCAGTTATATAATAACTGGACTTCAGGTTCCAGGATATTTCAAGCTCATCAAGATCAGAGTTCATACAAGTATACTTCTCCTATACATTTCAATTTTTATTTCAATACTGAACATATTGGTAAGTTCAATTTTCATATTGTGAAACATCATATTCTATCTGATTAGAGAGATAATGTCAATTCTCAATTTCAGAGAATTTTGATTTTCCATGCTCTCTTTCTGGATATTCAACAGGTATAATTCAACGTTCGACGTGGCAAATAGCCAGGAAAGTAGTTGTTTTTTGTTGGATATTCAGAATGATATTAAGTGCATATCTTTATATGAAGGAGAATGCAAATTCTCTACTTCAGAAGATTTTGTTTTCAAATTCTTATCGTGTGTGATCAATAGATGTAATTCAATATTCGTCGTGGCATATAGCCAGCAAAGTAGTTGTTTCTGTTGAATAAACCAAGGAAGGATTAATATTTTCATCACATGGAGAATGCGAATTCTCGATGTATTCCTTTATAGGTATATGAATTTTTTTGTATCCATAGATATATCTGAGAATATTTCTTTCGAACTCCTCTCAAGGGGTTCAGCTTGAACGATGAAAACTTGTTATTTTTATAGACCTCAATCGCAGATTCGTGATTAGGTTTTCTCATTTCAGAATTTTTTTCCACTTCCTGTATGATGGATATCAATTTATCTTACATCCAAAAACTTATGTATCTAATTAAGAATAGCAGCTTATACAAAGATATTACCATTACACGAGGTGACAATTGAAAAGCTCGATATATAGTGTCATCTCATAACAAGTTACTCAGAACCGTTTTTGAAATACAAAAGGAAATCCTCAATGACTTTGCATATCGAAGAATCACTTACACATGACTCACAGAACATTTCGAAAATCCTTTCATTGACTTTTCTGTTCTCAACTTTCATTTTAAATTTTTTTATATCTAGGTTTTGCTCGATGATCAACAAAAAGTCCAAAAATATATTGGCACACTTTTTCAATCCGATACAAACAATTGAAAATAGTTTACTCATAGACGTTTCAGTGATAAATATCGTACTTGCATGCAATATGTTTTGTAAATGATGATTATGTGCTTAGTTTGTCTCAAGAATATTTTTGAATTTTCCAGTTCGGTTTACATCAGAAATTGACATGATTTCGAATTATCTTCGCACCAGTATTCAGTCGTTTTGTCATTGTTCATCATCTATATCACCAGCAAAAATTGATTATTTTCTAGCTGAAATCTCAATTAGTTTTTCAATATGGAAAGAGGTTGGAAAACTATATGATAATTCTCACACTAACATCATCACTTCATCGCAAATCATTGATTCTGATACTTTTTGTTATATTGGCTACATACATCGGAATCAAGCATCACATTTTCCACAGTGATCCATTACCTGAATGTTTTATTCATTCACAGAATTGATCACTCTCGTGCAGCATACTTTTCCGGATTGTGTATGAAGTATTCTAGTCAGTTCTGTTTTACGGCGTGAAATATCAGATCAGCTGTGAGGAAGTTGAAATGTCGATTCATGGAGTTGAAGCGTGATACACTACATGCAACGAATCATGATGTGAGTGTATGCTTCTATCAAGCACCAGTTCAGCGCCTCCACAAACAAGCTGAAAAATATAAAATTGGTTTTCTACTATTATATGTGCCCGCTATGGATACAGCAACATTAATTCAATTCCTTGAAGCAATGGTTGTAGAAGACTTGGAACAATTCCTTCATGAAATCTTCGATTTGCTTCCAAACAGCCTGATTCAAAAATACCACTTGGGGTGATTCCAGACACTGAAGATGAATGAGAAAAAAGGGGGTGAATTGGGCATCTATAGCATTTTCACGTAATGTGTGATGTCGATCATATTTTGATGTAAAAATAAAACAAAATTCTTCAGTACATTTGTATTTTATTGATTACAATGAACAACGATATCGAGTAGTTTGAGTAATGCTAAATTCCATGAAGAGATTCATTGGGGAGTGGATCCGCATCTATCGTGTTCGAAGAGCACCCATCTGTATGGAACCCTCCACAATGCACTATACGTCAGATATGCGTCATGAAGAATGAGTGCGTGAACGTTCGTGCTCGGCGGAAACTTCGTTTCGCGGATTTCAAACTCCAATTCGATGTCGAGAGGTGGTAGCTGTCGATGATGAATAACGAACTTTTTCGAAACTCCACAGCATCTAACTTTCTGTCAAAATCCAAATTCCAGCGCTCATATAGATAAACTTCTGAATTCAAGTAAAGACGAATATTATTCAATTCTGCGTGATTGAATTTCGAAGCGCCCTTCGATCTTTTATCTGTATTATCAAGGCTTTGAAAACCGAAAATGATGTAGCATGGGCACTCGAGGCTATTATTTGTTTTAGTAGCCAAATATCAGAAGCTGTTCCACGAATGGCCGGGAACTCATAGGAATCTCACATCCACATCCTGTATGCTTACTTGATTTCTGCTGTAGAATTTTCATTCAATCGATTCAAAAACTTCAATTTCTGCCTACCGGACGGCATCACATGCCTAATCTTCCATTAGATCTTGTTGATCATCACATTCGCATCAAGTTCCCCCCTATGAAAGTGTTTCATAAGCCTGCTATGATGAGTATAAGCTCCTGCTTTATATTCAGTATACCTTTATTATAGTCCTCTGCAATCCTCATTGAATATTTAGGCGGTAATTTTCCGCTGATTGTATTACTGGATGTATCTATAATCACCTGTTTATTTTCATCGAGACCCCATTCAACCGTGTCCAAATATTTTGTGCATGTCTTACCTTAAGATATCATACTAATCATGGTAGTGGTAATGCCCGGGTTTCGAATCATACACACCTGTTCGCCGCCCATTTTATAACGGATTTCATCGAATAAAAATGCGAGCGCATTATTGAACAGATGGCAGGTTTTTGCCAAATCGTTCGGAATAAATTCTCCTTCGATATAAATGTAGCCTTCAGCAATATCCAGTATCAAATCTTGAAAATTGACAGCAATCCTAATTTTATGGGAATTCTTGAATGATGGAGAACCATATGGTTTGTAAATATGCTCATGTAGGCTAATTAGTGAATGATCAGAAATCGGTTCATCAAACACTCCCAATTGTAAGATAGTAGAACTTTTGACAACCTTTGTTTACTCATTTCTGATCCGATAGACTCCAAAAAATTTGTATCGCTCGCAGATACCTTATGATATCTTACTCGACCGGTGATTTGCCCTCCACTAAATCTTTCATCACGTTTACAATTCTCCTTATTGGTAATGTGCAGAATAGTGAGGTGAGTAGCGAGCGATACACGTTTTGATTGGTTTCCAATGCAGAAACTTATTTTCTAAATTGATGTAGAAAATTTGATTGAGCTGTTCCAATTCCAACTTCAGTATGATCTTCTCTCCTCGAAAATCAACTCAATGATCGTTATCATCCAATATTTCGGACTGATTGGTATATATTATATTTTTCGGCTCCTTTGAAAGTTTGTATCCTGGCTC